GAGGGGGTAAAGAAGTTTAGATGCAGGGGCGGTAGGGGGCAGAGCGGAGATGTGACATCTGCAGGGCGGAGGTCTGGAGGGGTCTGGAGGCCGCCACGTGGTCAATGTATGTACGTACGTATGTATGTATGTATGTATGTATAGGTTGCGAGTATCTGACCGGGCCTGACACTGGCCAGGGGCTGCTGCCCAGCCCCAACGGAAAACCCGCCTAAGCTCTCTCCCGCGGACGGTATAGGGGCGCGAGGGCCCCCTGTCCTCTCGTAAGCATAGCCGAGAGCCGCAGGTCCGCTAGCTCCGCTCTCCTACCCCTGGGGTGGGGCTGGAGCCCGTCGGACGCGCGCACGTCTCACTAGTCAAGGCTCCATCACGCGAGTTTGCGCACTGAGCCTGAAACACGAAACAAGACTCCTCTCCATCCCCGGCCTGATCCGGCTCTTGGTGTGAAAAGGGTTCACTTCTAAGACAGAGGAGACTCAGAAACCCTGTACCTGCCCTACCCCTCCCTACTGCTGCACGAGGCCCTATTAGAAAGCTCGGTGTGTGTATGTGTTTGCGCGCGTACAAAGCTTTGGGTGGGAGGGAATGCCCCCGATGGTGGCCGTCCTTCCCGCTGGGTAGTGGGACACAAGGAACAGCCTAGATTGGCAACAACCGGGCAATGAAGTGCAACGAGGTAAGCGGCAAACACACCGGGTGGCAGCCATATAAGTGTGTGTGTGTGTGTGTTTTATGTGCTTTATGTATTTCAAAAGGGCTCCCGCCGCTCGCGCACATCTGGGTTCTACCGACCCGTGTTTGTGTCGCGTTTGACTTCTCTCCTCCTTCCCCCGGCTCCCTCTCTCCGCTCGCGAACGACCTGGTAAGCCGCGGGCAGGAGCCGTACCTGAGGGGGCAGAGGGCGGTACACAGAGGAGTAACTTTTGACCGAAGGAAGAGCCGAAGGAAGTCCAGCGAAGTGGCAGAAATCGCTGAGCGTTTTTGGAGTAAATGGTACCCTTGTCCTTGTATGTATGTATGTATGTTGTTACAGGGTGGTTAACTTCGCCAGCGGCCCCTTTCCCGGGCAGTCCCTGCTCTCCCCTGCTAGAGGGGCACCCTAATCCGTCACCTCATCCTACTTCCGAATGTATTCGTTGGGTTCAGCAACTCATCACCAGCATCCAACCAAATCTAGCGGATCAACGGCGCCTCAACTTAGTTCCTGGTCAGCTCGCAAGTTGATGTTATCACGTCCTACACCGTCCTTAAGATGGGGGGCCACCTCCCATTTCAACACCCCTCACACACCCGAGGAGTCGGCAGGCAAATTTGAACCCGGGTCGACCGGGTGCAGAAGTCAGGCCTTAACCTCTGCCAGCCGCCTGCCTATGTATGTACGTATGTATGTGTATGTATGTATGTATGTATGTATGTATATATGTGTATGTATGTATGTATGTGTTTCTCTATCCCCCCCAGGTGGCGGTGAGTCTGGCGGTGGCCGAGGCGGAGTTGTCCTTCGAGCACCGCGACCTGCACTGGGGCAATGTGCTGGTGCAGCCGGCGGGGGGCCGACCCGACTACTGCGGACCCGGCGGCTGGCTGGCTGCGAGGCTGCGGGGACGGAACCTGCGGGTGTGTGTGTGGGTGGGCGGTTGCCACCCGGGCTGTGCTGTGGCAGTGCCTGGAGTTCTGTGTCGAATATGTGTCCTTGAGGTGACCTTGGCTTCGTGTGTGACTTGTGAGTGGGTGTGTTTTTGGGGTGGGAGGGGAGAAACGCAGACCAGGAGCAGACAGAAGAATGGTTGCGGTTGTTGTTGTTGGTCGTGGTGTTGTGCCCGTACGCCCTTACAGACATACACCGTGACCTGCTCGCCTGCTGGGCTAATGTCCCCCAACCCTTCCTCACCCGTTTCTCCTTCTCCCCTCCCTTGCCATGTGTAATTCGTCGTGTGTATGCATGTATGTATGTATATATATACGTGTGCGTGTGTACATATGTATGTATGTATGTATGTATGTATGTATGTATGTATGTATCTCGCTTGATCCAACCATGTAATGCCACGTTTCTGGCCAGAAGTAAATGTTTAATTAAGCTGGTATGGCTATGGTGGTTAGAAATTGGATTACATCTGTAAAAGTGACGGATTTCATACCACCTAAAATTGGACCGATTTGTAACATATCCCGCATATTATACACAAAGGTGATCATTAAAGATTATATTTGCTAAAAAATAATGGATGTCAAAGTACATATGTGTATGTATGTGTGTTTTGGGTCAGGTGGCTTCCTGCGGTGTGGCCACCACCATCATCGACTTCACCAACAGCCGCCTGGAGGCGCGGGACGGGCTGCTGGTGTTCTGCGACCTCAGCCGCGACCCGGCTGTGTTTGAGGGGACAAAGGGCGATGTGCAGGTGGTGTGGGGGGATACCGGGGGAATATGGGCGGCTGCGTGACGGGTTATCTGTGTAACAGAACCAGCGGGGGAGAAGGGGTGTGTGAGGAAATCCCAACTAAATAGCAAATAGCCCGGGCAGCTCGCTAACCCGCCTCCCTCATTTTTTATCTTCTGATAGCGCTTCCTCCATTACAGGTTCAGCATTATCAATTGGCGATGGAGGGACCGCGCAATAGGGTTGATGATAAGTTGTAATAAATGGGCTATAATTGTTACTGTATGAATTTTTAGGCGTTTTTATAGCAGTGATTTATCCTTTACCCCACCCCACCCCCGAACCGCCGTCCGTCCGTCGTCCGCCGCAGTTTGACACGTACCGCTGCATGCGGGACTTCGTGGAGGACGACTGGTCCTCCAGCTGCCCCGCCACGAACTGCCTCTGGCTGGCTTACCTTGCGGATGTGCTGTGTAAGAAGTTCGGAGGTGGAGGAGGTGGCGGGGGGCCCAAGGGGGGCAAGGGCTTTCGGCTCACAGCTGGGCAGAAGCGACAGCTCCAAGAGTTCAGGTGCGCAGTGCGCTCTTTCTGTGTCCTCTGCCCCCTGCGTCGCCTGCGAAGCTAGGGCGCAATCCTATAGGCACCGTATCCGTATCTGTTGTAGCGCGTTAGAGCGTTACAGAACTTGTAATCGCTGTGTGATTAAGACACGACTTGATAAGACTGATCTACGAACAGTCTACGAATATCTTGGAGTTTAGGAGTGTTTCCTAACCAAGGAATGACACGCACTTGAGATACCTACAGACACATCGGTTCGAGCAACCATTGTAGCTCTGAAGAGAATCGTACGGTAGAAGTCGTTGCGGCCTCCTAAGCAACGAGTATTTATACTCGGGAGGAAACCTACGGGGTTAGATATCTCACGATACACCAGTGAGAGAGATTCTAGAAGCCTACGCTTCTAATGCTCCTTACTTAGAAACGAGCCCAGACCTTGACGGAGCGAATCCGTCCTGTAACCTGTCGGCTCTCGCCGCTATTACGCGCTATCAGCATCCCTCTTCGCATCCGCATCTTGATGACCGTTCGGAGTTTGGCGTATGGCCACCACGCACAAGACTTGCCGCAATATAAACCCTAAGTAAGCAGCACCACGTCAGTTAGGTTGTTTTTCTGCGGGTGTGCGTGCATCAGGACGTCCTCTGAGAGCATCCTTCGACAGGAAGATATCGTAGGTTGTGAAGATTTTAAGGCCGTGTTCGTTAAGGCCGTGTTCGTCCAACCTTTAAGATCTCAATTACGGGGCAGTGTTGTGGTGATGATGCACTCGACCTGTTCGGGGTCCGCTGTAACAAACCGCTAACTGAGTGGTTGCGTGGTATCGCTTTCCCTTCCACGCGTCCCGCTTGCCTCAAACAGGAAGCGTGCAGTACAGTACAACAGCTGCGGCGATATCATGTGGGACGAGCTATTCAAAGGCCAGCTACAGACTGATGACGACTGACGCCGCCGTCGGCCGACGGCGGTGGCGGCGACGGCCGCCGCGGCATGCAACGATGGCTTATGAAAGGAGAGCGCCGTACATCCGTTCTTGCCGCCGTACCTCTATGAGGTGATGATGATGATGCCCTTGCAGCATCCGGATACGGGGCGGTGGCCTTGAGCGGCATGATGACGTCATGTGTTATGACCTGATGAGTCCTCCCCTGGGGTTCCCTGGAGCTTCACGGTGTCCGTGTACGAATGGGGTGGACCCGGGAGAATTGAGGGTCGGTTGCGGGCTGACGCATTTATGTGTATGAGGCTTTGGGGTGCCTCGCGCCCGGCAGCGGCTATTGCCCTCAACCCAGGCTTTCCCTCAACCCAGGCTGGTGCGCTGGAAGGGTTCCTCGCATACCTTGCTTTCTCCAAAGCGCACAGCGGGTAGTAAGGATTACTTGAGGGAGAGAGAAGGGGGGGGGGAAAGGAGTGTGTGTGTGTGTGTGAGGGAGAGAGAGAGGGAGAGACTGTGCATGTATGTACATGCCATCCCATGACGTGGCCTGGGGGGTTTCCGTCCTCAGGGCGGTAACCTGCACGGCCTCGTCACCGCAGGAGATAGCGCGTGTGGCTAGTGGTGACAGCATCGGTTCAGGCAGCGCAATCTACTAAACAGTGCAGGTCAAGGCTGCATGGAGTGCATACGCTCTCTCGGCAAGGCGTGGACAGACCCCTTGCTTTCAAGTACACGTATCTACGCCGAAGTAAACGTCGGGTCAGGGGGTCTGGCCGGGCATTGGGAGTTAGGTTCGTAGGGGTTGGGTCGCTGCGTCGTGCAACATGGAGGGGCGCAACGGTCCCATGTTGCACATGGCGGGACCGTTGCGCCCCTCGAGCGGCCACGAGGTAAGGGCCGATTATTTGCTGGCGGCGATGGATGCGATGGGGGTGTAGCCCTTCTGGGGGTTGACTGACTCGGTTCAGCGGAAGGATGGAAGGGAGAAGGCATCCTTGTGCCTGAGGCCTGTGGAAAAGGTGGCGTGCAAGGCCAGGGAGTTGAACGGTAGTGTCGTTTGCTGGTACCGTCCTGCCTTCTTGCCTTCGCCGGTATGGATGCCTACACCGAAGCAAGACACGTATGGTGCTGTGGCTCCTGAAACGCACGACGTTGACAATGACATGTTTAGATGCGATGAAGCGGACCCGACCATGCAATCCAAACACTCCGCTCCCAAGCACGGGCGCGAGTGCCCACCTCTGTAAGAGGCACCAAGCCAAGGTGAAGACCGTACCGCGGCCTGCTGGGCACCGCAAAGCAACCAGAGAGGCACTCCCCTTAACTCCCCACTTCTAAGGAGAGAGATCCTAATAAGCTCAGCCCGGGAAAGGGGCCCTAAGGAGTATACACATACACAGGTAAGGTCACAGAGGGGACGGAGCTACCCACCACGGGCACCCTGCTGCTAGCCATCCACCACCAAGACCTCCACCGCGCGGAATAATGGCCCCAGGGCTCTCGAAGGCTTTGGGAGGGCACGTGACAGGGTGATGGATTACCTCGAGCTGACAAGCCAAGAAAGAATTTCCGACGCCAAAGCAACTGCATACCACGATAAACAGGGGGGGCGGACGTGTACCCAACCGCCCAACTCAAGTACTTACTCCGCTGTACTGGTGTCAGACGCGACTGGCCCAGCACACACAAGTCGGTCTCCCACAGCCCGCGGTACTGTGTCCCGTCCCCGGCGTGGGGCAGCCCCAGGGTTGCGGAGGCGTGGAGCTGACCCCATGACTCAAGGACGCTCGATGGATCACTCTTTCATGAGGACCTGTCCCCGCTCACTCCCAGGCAGCAAGTCGCTCTCATTCCTGGCGCCATGAACCTGCGTGCTGTCTCCAGGGCGAGTGTAGTTGCCAAGGCTATTACGTTTGCCATACCACTTGTGCAGCATATCAGGCGGCTCAGCTAGCTGTTGCAGCTGACGGGTGATGGGGCGGTCCACCCGCACCCATGCGCTACTTCAGGACTCATGAAGTGTGTTGTCGTGGTACTGCAATGAGTCTCGTGCTTTGCATTGTTAATCCAGGTAACAAGAAACTATCATTCATTCAGAATTCAGATAGTGCCGTGCGAGCACCGTGCATGTACCCTGCAGGGACCCCCGCGTATCCATAAGACGGGCCGCTCTTGGTTACTTGCTGCTGCTGGGCTGCTGTCATGTCTTTTGGTGATGATGGTTTCGCGGTGCGGTTGTGACACAAAAACAAGTAAGAAATGGTGAGCGGCAAGGGGATGGATGGAAATGGATGGAGAGTTGACTGCGCACTGTGTGACTGCTGTACACAAGGGCTCGGGATCCGAAGTGTTGATTTGATTTCACAAGTGTTTCAGTAATTTCATCGTAGGACGGCCCCCGCTGGTTACAACTCACACATTTTAAGCGGACGAGGGAGAATGAAGATGACCTCCCGCGTACCCGCATCAATACCAATACAACGTCCATGGCCCCCCCGGCTTTTACGGACACACCCGCACTTGTGTGCGGAACTTGTAACTTGTAACATTAGTGACGGAAATCGGTGACGAGAAACATCTCGACTCGTGTTGTCGTACAAGCAGCAGTTCACTAGGGCTCTTCACCCCTGAGGTCGAAAACCTTGGAAAGGCAAAGGAGTCGCTGGTCCCGTACGGAAGACGTTTCTCATGAAAGGTCCGGAGGGCAGGGGGCCCCGATCCGTTGGGAGCCAGGATGCGTGGGGGCTTGTGTTCCCACATACCCCAATACACGCCTAGATTCAACAATACTGTGCTCCCTGTCTCCCATGAACTGGTTCTTAGGTGTTATGAGCTATTGTCTGAGCTACTAGTGGCCGTATATGCCGAGGAGGGCGACAGGGACTGGCAGCTGTCCATGGCCGTTTTACCACAGGCGAGACAAACAGCTGAAACAAGAAGCCACGTGCTGGCGCCTTGCCAGGAACACCACCACGCACTGCCGCCGGCACGTACAAAAAATCACCAATGGTCCCGCACAGCTGCAACAACGCAAGGATGTGACAAGAGGCAGCCCCGCGAACAAGGACGGACTGAACACGAGAACACTGAGGCTGGCGCGGCAACATGTTGCAACACTGAGGCTGGCGCGGCAACATGTTGCAACACTGAGGCTGGCGCGGCAACATGTTGCAACACTGAGGCTGGCGCGGCAACATGTTGCAACACTGAGGCTGGCGCGGCAACATGTTGCAACACTGAGGCTGGCGCGGCAACATGTTGCAACACTGAGGCTGGCGCGGCAACATGTTGCAACACTGAGGCTGGCGCGGCAACATGTTGCAACACTGAGGCTGGCGCGGCAACATGTTGCAACACTGAGGCTGGCGCGGCAACATGTTGCAACACTGAGGCTGGCGCGGCAACATGTTGCAACACTGAGGCTGGCGCGGCAACATGTTGCCCGAGAAAGCAAAGGACAGCCCAACGACAAAGCAGCATCAGCCGCTAAGGACAGCACAACAGCACAAGGGAGAGGAGAGGCCTGGTGCTGCCCTTAGAACCTGAATGCCCCAAAACAACTGAATGACATCAGGCCCGATCCTTTAGAAAGCCGCGGCGAGCTGGATTTGAGGAGCCTGAAAGTCGGAGGAATGGGGAGCAGGAGGGATTGGGAAGGAGGGACCGGGGGGAGGTTCAGGAGGGGGGAAGTTAGCGAATGACAAGGCGGAAAGCTGTACTGAGTGAAGACAGAATAACTTCATCGTCAGAGCAGAAGCTTATACAGTGATCGTCACTTCGATCTGGGTCATACGAGAATCGCACGGAACCTGCCTTGTGGCTCCGATCCGCTCCGTCGCATCTAAGCCAAAACCAAAGCCTTGCTTTGATGGTAGAGCGGAATGGGTGGGATTCCGAGTTATTTCCCTTATAGATATCTTAAATGTGAGGATTTCGTTTTCTCATTTTGGAGGCAGGTTTTGGGGATTCAATGCAAAATGGTAAAAGACCCACCATCGCTTTGAATCTTTTTCACGGGCTTCAACTGGAGTTGGGGTGCGACGGCGAACATACATTTATTCATACTTACCTGGCCCGCTTCTCGAGGTGGTCATCATGGCCTCGGTTGTATGATTGGTCTTCACCTTTGCACTTCGTGAGGGCCTCTCGTAGTCGGCCCTTCGGGTGTCCGGCAGGGCTAAATTTTTTTCAGGCTGAGGATTCGCGCACTGCGCGACCTCGGCTCCCATCAAGAATTGTAACCATGTCGTCTGCTACGTAAAGACCCTGCAATGTATAGGTCACCCCCAAGTTTAACATATACCGTGGAAGACATGCTGAAACAGAAGCGTCTGCTTGCTCCGATACTGCGGAGGCATTATACTAACACGTGAAAGTGATCCACAATCAGAAAGAAGTAGTATTGCTTAACCATGCAGGGTTTAGCGCTTTTTTGCGTCTCTGCCTTTTTGCGATTTACCTGCCTGCACCAGACCAAGCTGCAAATTGTTATGGGCACCCTTATGATCATCATAAGGGTAATGTTTTCAGAAGGTGTCACTCGGCAAGGTGACCAAGATGTCGGGCGCCTATCTGCATCATGGAAATCGCTGTCACCGAACTGTTGTTGCCTCAGTTTGCGCTTGCTGGTAAACAAAATAGGATGAATATTAAGTGCTTCATTTTCCAATTGGATAAATCCAAGATACTGTTTTAGTCGCGTCACCACCGGCTGATGTTCGCTTACATCCATCGATCAGCCATAGCATCAGGGCTTACCGCTACCTTTGGGCGACGATAGAGACCTAAGGCGACGCTTAACTTAACGACATGTCGATTATATCTGCATGGGCGGAAACGAGGGAGGCAATTTCCACACGGCGCAAATAAAGCGCCTATCCTGTCCTGCATTTCCTGCACATAGGCGCTCACAACGCACGCACTTTTGCTTCAGACAGCGGTTCGGCATACGTGCGGCATGCATATTCACCTAGCTGAAAACGTCTGCTGCTGCAGGCGGAACAGTTAGGTATGAACCTTTACGCTCTGGGGAAACATGTCGGTGCTGATTCCCTCCCCCATGAGACTTTGTGCATCATTGTTGGGGGGAAAACGAGGCGCTGGGCAGTTGGCTCTTTCAATTGCAAAAGGCGAATCGGTCAAGGCATTCACCGCCCCAGGCATATGTCTTGCGGCTCAGAGCCCTCAGTCCCAACAAAACTGCCCAAGAGTTTGGGGTATTATCCATGCCGCAATACGCAAATTGGTATCCCACCTAGCTAGATGGTGGGAACCAATGACGCAAAGCATGGGCTTGCAACAGGTATAACGCTTGCAATCAGGGGGAAGAAGTATACTTGCAATACCCCTTGTTTACGTCGCAGCATGGCTACTCGTATATCACCCAGTATTATCTGGCCCTGATAACAAAAGGAGGGCCGAAGTCAAGCCGCCGTTAAGTTTGCCAAGGTCACCAACAACCAACAAAACGACCAACTGACTCGGGCCCAGTCGCTCATATATAGACGTTGCTCACGGTTGTGTCTCGCGTGCTTGCAACGTTTGGCGACGTGCACCCCCCAAAGGAATATTCCATAACCCGCACCGTACTTCGTTACCCCAAAAACACACCTACAAACCGTAACAGGAGAAACCACGTCTTTTCACCTTAATACATTGCGAGAATACCAATGCTGCGCCTGCCAACACCACAATCCAAAACAGGTTACTGCTAAAACTCGCAGCAGCTTTCAGTTCGCTTTCACTTCGCTTTCACTTCTTGCCGAACAGACCGCCTAGCAGGCCCGACAGCGGGTTGCCGCCACCGGACTTGGGCGCCTCCTCCTCCTCCTCCTCCACCACTACCACCTGCACACGCAACCGCTATCGGACTCAGTCCCGCTATCGTTAAGGAGGTATTGGAGCAGCAATTACAATCACCCAGTTATCACCGTTACCTTGTCACTGGCTCTCGTGCCGACGGGCCCTTACCTCCTCACGTGCGGCTCGCTTCGGTGCTGGGGGCGGCGGAGCGGAGCGCTGCTCAGCCTGTGCCGACCGGCCGCCCTGCTTGGCCTCCTTGCGGCCGAACGTCTGCATCAGGCGTTCACGCTGCAATGGACACGGCACAGCAACCACACGGTATGAGAGAAGGGACTGTGAAGAAGAGCAGTGTAACTGAGTTATCAAGAAGGATGCCATGTCCATCTCATGCACTGTATATTACGAGGCCCCAGGAGTACAGGGAGAGATGGTTTAACAAAAGATGGCTGCGTTTGGATGTTCCGCAAAACGCCTGGTAGTCATTGCACCTGCCTTGGTATTCGGTAAGTACAATCCTAGACCTGGCCCCGCGCCATTTCCACGCCACAACGGTGCCCGTACCTTGGCGCGCCGCTCAGCAAGCAACTCCTGCTGCGCTTGCCATTGCGCCTCCTTTTTGCGCTCCGCGTCCTCCTTACTGCAGCAGGGGGCACAGCCGTGTCTTAGCGCAGGGAGTTGAGTGGACGCGAGGAATGCTCTTCGGAAGTTCCGCCGTGGCGATGAGTGAGCAATTTTCCATTCAGATCTCCCGCAACTTTAGAGATGAATGACGTTGTGCCACAAACGTAGGCTGGCGAAAGGCATCGCATCCTGTGGCTAGCCAAGCCGGGAGATATTAGGTTTGCTTGCGTGGCACCTTTCGACGAGACCGAATATGTCTTTCCCCACCCCGGTAATTACAAGTCGCCTTATTTTCTCCAGAGCTCCCAGATCACTTACTTGCCACCGAAGAGAGCACGAACGCTCACGGCTTTGCGGCTAGAGCGGGCAACCGCTGGCCTGCATATGCACGATCACTCAGATGATCAGTAGCTAAAGCTGTAGAATACGAACTCGGCACTCGCCATCTTGCCTGTTGGCGCAGGTGCCAAGAGAGACCCTGGACGCAAGCATGCTCGGTGTCGGTAGACGTCGGACCAAGAGGGAGTGCGGAGAGATAAGATATGCTGCAATAGTGCTGTAATGTACAAAATAATCGAGTATGCAGGTCTGATATGGACTGTGTGTGGAATGCCAAATGTTTATGAATTTGGGAGGAGTACGGCAAACATTGGTCAAAGTGTCGGGCCAGCGCAAGCACCTGCACACCGTGATGACTGCAGCAACTAATGCATCATTCAGGTATACTTATGACAGATTGTAGGCCTGATCTTGTTTTGTTGGACACTTGACCAGCGGTCACTGCCACATTTTTTTCCGCATTTGGACATCGACTTACCCAATTTGTATCGGATGTACTCTATTTCTTATGCATCAGCCAGTTCCAGTATTGACTTATCTGCCGCAGCAGCTTTTGCCTAAGGGGGGTTCTACTCAAACATGAAGGGTCTAGGCGAGGGTTACCATCAGACGGTTAGCGTTTACCCAAGAGCCGAGCATACATATCGAGCACGAATAAGTCGAAAAGATGTCGGCGGGACCACGTTCCAGGCGGCTTACACCCCTATCGACACTGACCCAGGCCCACCAGCTCGCGGCGGCCCGCCTGGAAGACTGAGCGAGTTCCCCGGTCTCCAAAGCGACAGTGGCTATACTATCATTCCAATTGACTCAAAAATATCAGGCCAGCAGGCGTGGGCAGCACAGCCAGCGCCCAGCAAACAGCCGGCCTATAGTGGCCCCCTTGAGGACGCGCTCTCCATTGCAAGGACAAATGCTGTAAAGGATAGCAAGGCCCCCACGAAGCCGAAACATGCAGGCCTGGACGCCGTGCAGATGAGCCTGCAGGACATGCTGGCAGCTGCCGCACGCATCCACAACGAGCTCTTAGCCTCGTCCACGACAAACCGGGCGCCTGTAGCCACAGATGCCGCTGGCCCTGCTGCTGCCGCTACCACCTCAGCTGCAGGACATGCGCCAGCAGCCTCAAGGTCAATCGGTGCCTCAGACCCAGCCTCCGCCTTCGCCGGCACTGCGCCAATTCCCAACACCGCCCCAGCTTCTGATGGAAGCGGTGTTCCCCAGCCTCATCCCTTGGCACCAGCCCAATACTCCCCACCTGCACCCCAGCCCCGTGGGCCCTTGGAGGCCCTTCGGGATGAGTTGTTCGGCAGCCTCACCATGCCTTCTCCCCGGGCCCTTGGAAGGCCCCCAACACCCCAGCCCACTGGCTTTCCCGCCGCACCACCCGCCAGCCCGGCTGCTGCGCCGGTATCCACCCCGCCGCCACGTATGGCCCGGGGACCCCCTGATGGCTTGGATACAGCGAATGCAAGTCCCACTCCAAGTACGTTGCGCGCGATGGAGACAGGTACGCCGTCACAGCTGCAGGGCCAGGGCCCCTTGAGGGCTAGAAGTGGGGACACTGGCCTCAGCGCCAAGAGCCGTAGTAGAAGGGCCTTGCTCCACCAGCAGGGTTATGGCCAATGCGGCGCCAAAGGTGGCGGGCTTGTTATGCTCTAATCGGATGACTGCGCTCACTTACCTGCGCACCTGCACGGATGGGAAGCGTGGACAGGGCTTGCCATCGGGCGCAGCAGGTCGGATATGGCACCTGGGGAGCCGTGGATGTGATGCTCGACAGCTCGGCATGTCACAGTTAGGGAACAGGCGAAGGCGGAGGCTTACCGCGGGGAGGGGTTGCGATGGTGTGGTAACCCCACATCCGTCAGCCGTCTCTGCCTGTTAATTACTGCCGTTGTCGTGGCTGCGTTGCACGCCTGCGCTATCGGTTCGCACCGGCAACCTGATAACCCTGCTTCTCCCTCCGACTGCCGCAACCCAGCAGCAGCACTGGCGCTGCAGGAGGAGACGTCTACTCTGACAGCTCAGGCAGGGTACAGCTACGCAGGTGCGGGCATGAACGCGCAAAAGGGGCTCGAGGTATTCGGGGAAGGAGGTTCGTCGAGAAAGACAGCGCGCATCATCATCATCATCATCATCATCCCACGTACGCGGGACTGGCGCTCCCGTAGCGAATGTGGTGAAAGCAACTCCCGGAAGGAAAGTCGTATCTGCTGCTGCACATCTGTAACGACATGAGGAAAAGGGTGCAGGCATTCCCACTGGCAACCAAGGTCTGAGCATTCGCTCCGGCTCACAGCTCACCGTATTAATACAGCATATAGGTATTCATTCCTACGCGCACCGACCATGCCCTTGCAATTACTTTATTCCTGTATGTTTTCCGCACTCATTGTTACCTATGCTGCCGTGTCTGAGAGGATGGGAAACCAACCTGCAGCGCGAATGAAAAGTGACAGCCTTATCCAAGCAGGGGGAGAGCTGCGAGCAAGTGCACACATACGCACAACGCGCGTCTGCTTCTCCCCTTGGCCGGCCGTTCGCCTTGTTATTCTCCTCGCGGCTCGGCCACCGCACCTATCAACACACGTGGACACAACACGCATCTTGCCATGCCGTGCCTGGGCCGCCCCGTTCAACCACCGATGCAGACCTGTCCTCCATCTACTCTATCCCTGACTCCGCCCTGAACGCCACGGCGCGCACGCCCATGTCCTTCACCACCGCCGCGGTTTCGGAGCTGGACACCCCTAGCAGCGTGCGCAGCCGGGACGACGAATACAAGTACGACAAGTCGTTCGTGAGCCCCAAGAGCAGCGAACGGGATCCCAGCACTGCCCGGGCTAGCGGCGGCCGGTCCGGGCGCAGCAGCCAGCTCATCTACGAGCGCATCGCGTCCGGCTACGATGATTACGTGTCCCCCGCTTCGTGGATGTCCCTTCGGGAGCAGCACAGGAGCTCCCATGTGAAGGTGACGTCGACGTCCTGTCCCGGCCTTGGTGGCCCCGAGTCGGTGTCCTCGACCCCGACGGGTCCCTCCGGTTGGGCTAGCGGCGGCGGTGGTGGCGGCGGCGGCTTGATTGACCTGCTTGCCAGCGCGTCTGCAGTAGCAGTGGCGGAGGTGTTGTCGATGCCGCCGCCGGCGTCCCAGGCGTCGTTAGCACCGTCTAAATCCTCCATGCCGTACATGCCGAGCGAGACGGACAGCAGCGTCCGCACGGGCAGTGCCTGGAGCGAGTACGTTCCCCATGGGAACCGGGGCCAACTGCAACAACATCATACGCAGCAGCAGCAGCAGTGGCAGCAGCAGCAGCGGCAGCCCGACCATGCTTCACGGCAGCAGCAGCAGCAAAAGCAGTCGCAGCAGCAGCAGCAGCCCGCCGGTGGCCCACTTGACGTCCGCAGCGGCCGGGCCGGCAGCACCGCGTCCAGCGGTCCACACAACGGCTTCAGCAGCTTTGCGTTCTCCGCAGGGCCTGACAGCGGCCGCGGCCGAGACCGGGTCACCGGCAGTGATCACCTATGCCGTACGCTCTCTTTCGGTGTGCCTTCTGGCACTCTCAGCAGGAGCGGATCAAGGGGCGGCTCCTGCAAAGGCGACGGAGGCAGCCTCAGTGGCGACAGCGGCAGCAGTTCTGCCGGCACCGCCGCCGCGCCGGCCGGCGGTGAACTCACTGAGCCTGAATCCTCCGTGGCCGTGTCTCAATCAACAACAGCAACAGCAGCAACGGCGGACCGAAATGCATGTAGCATCCCCGGGGCACCCTACGGTGGTGGCGGAGGTAGGCGGTATGCGAATGCCACCTTCACAAACCCGCTTTATTCACAGGGGTCCACTGAGAGTGGTGCTGCAGGCGGTGGCTGCGGTGGCAGCACCAGCAGCAGCAAGAGCGGCTACAACAGACCTCCGGAAAACCGAGCTGTCAGCAGCGGCGGTGCCGCGGCCACACCGCCGCCGACGGCGTGCGGTGGCGCATCCATAGCGACGACAGAGGCAGAGGAGGAAGGGGAAGAAGGGCATGAGAGGGTTGTGGGAGGGCAGGAGCACGGGGCGGAGGGTGGGCAGGGTAGAGCCGAGACGTACAATGAGTATACATTTTCAGCAGCGATGGCAAGGACCACCGTGCCGCACGGGCCTCACACGGCGCTGGGGCCCAACCACCGGCAGCGGCCCGGCCATGTCGCACGGCTCTTCTCCAGTCCCGAAATAGTGGACGAGATGGCGGCGGATGCCTTAGAGGCCGCTGCCGCCGCTGGTGCTGACCCCGAAGGGACGGTGCCCGCTTCCTCGGCTATCAGTCTGGCCGACAAAGGAGGCATCCATCCCATCGTCCTCGCCCGTCCGCCGTCAATGGCCACCGCCCTGGCACCGGTCTCACCGCTGCCGGGTGTCAGTGGCGTCGGCACTTTTGCGGTACGGCCTCTGGCGGCGGCGGCGGCTCCAGGTGCCGGAGTGTCGGCGGTGGCGCTGGATGCGGTTCCGGAGCAAGACCGCGGTGAGCTCGTTCGCAGCTGGGCTGACATGCGTGCCGACTTTGGCGCAAGGCCGCAAGGCTCTGGTAGTCATGGAGGCACGCCCTCGGTCGCGGCATTGACGCCGGAGCCGTCGCGTGACGATGGCGGTCCTGTGTCGGCGTTGCCGCCATTTGGCGGCGGCGGCGGCGGGGAGGCGGCAGGGCAAGAGGCGCTCCTCGTCTCCTCTGCAACCCGGGCGTCCGCGCCCGGCGACCCCGCCGGCGGTGCCACTCCTGCTACTGCCAGCGCTGCTACCGCAACTACTGCTGAAGCATCCGCATGTTGCCACAAGGCCATCAGCCAAGAGGGCGGCGCTTCGGCGGGCGAAGAGACCCATCAGGAAGAACACCCTCACCAGCAGCAGCAAGAAGGACAGCAACAACAAGAGCAACAACAAGAACAACAACAACAGCCCGCCGCTGGCGATAATGACGGCAGTGCCGGTACTGGCATTCCCACCGTGGCCACGCTCGACACCGGTTGGCATTACGAGCTGGCGGATCCGCTGGATCAGCTCCTGTCAGTGCTGGCGGGACGTGGCGCACGCAGTGACGCCCATGCGCAGCGGCTGCTGAGTGACACGTTGCGCAGCGCCGTCTTTGACGCCGTGTCACAGCCACGACCCAACTCCGCGCCGGTGTTGTTCTCCCTGGACGGCATTGCCAGGAGCATGCCGCTGCCGCTGGCACCCGCTCCGGACTCCGCCACCGCCGGCAGCGCCGCCGCCGCTGCTGTTACCGCTGCCACACGATTCCAGGGCGAGGGAGAGCAGGGTCCCGGCGCTGGCCTTACCGGCGGCGGTGAAAGCGCCGGAAGTGACGGGGAGTTGCTGCAGGCGGTGCAACGGGTAGCAGAGCTGAAGGCGGCGCGGATGTCGGGGTACAGCGGCAGTGGCGCCGCCGTCGCCGCCACCGCTGCCGCGTTGGCTGCAGCGACGTCGACGGTGGGGGCGCAGAGCCGTGTCCCTTCGGGCTCTTTCCTGTCTGAGCAACCCCTCCCCCATCTGCAACCACACTTGCCTCTCAACCTGCAGCCCCACACATCACAGCACCAGCCGCAGCTACAGGCCCAGCCAGCGCCGCAGCCAACACCCCAGTCCGCACCATCGGCCCAACCTCCTCTCCCTCGGCAACAGCCACCTCAGCAGCATCTGGCAGCTGCGGGTTCGGGCGGTGGCGTGCAGCCCACGAGCAGCGTGGTGGGAGCAGCGATGCTGCCTTCTGGACAGGTTTCGGGGCTGCTGCAGTCGATTAGCCCTTCCGCGAGCATGGGATCCCTGGATTCCGAGGTGAGTGGACTTATGGTGCGATTCGGCTCTGTTGTCAGGGAACACGGGGAAGGTAGAGGACCTGGATGGAACCTTCCTCGTGGCGGCGCTAGGCACAGACCCTTCTGAGCGATGGCACCTTTGGCGATGGCGGAGTGGTTGAGGAGGTTGCGGAAACCCGAGGCTGGCGAAGGATGGAATCAGCAAGGGTGCAAGCAGCAAAGAATCAGCTGCCGAAGGGTGGGAGCTGGTAGAATTTGCGAAGCAGGCATTACGCATCGGTAGGCGCCGGTGCGTCTAATAATGCACCGCTGCATCGCTGGATGCGTTCCATCCTGGAGGCTGCTTGGTGTTGATTAAGTCAATTGCGCTTCTTTATGGACACCAACCAACCAGCAAGCTTTCTGCACCTCGCATGCTCTTGCAACGAAACCGGCCGTTAACTTAAGGATAAAAATAGAAGTGAGCGCGGTCACGGGACCGAGCCACGGGACGGCCTCCCGGTTCGTCTCGGCTGATCGCTGCTTCGTCGGCTGGTCGTTGCCTCCCTCGTCCGTTCGGGGCGCACCGTTCCGCCACCGCCGCCTCCCCTCACCCTTTCGCTCGTTTCCTGTGTTTTCTGTGCCTCTCTCTTCCATTTCTGATTCCTACCCCAGTGCCAAACACCCCTCTGGTCATGTCCCACATCTGCAGGTTGCAGTGGAGCGACTCAAGGCCAAGATGCGTGCCTATCTCATGCAAAACACAGAGGCTGCAGTTGCTGCTGTCGCTGCTGCCAATGCTGGCCTGGCCAGCGGCAGCAGCAAGGAACTGGAGTCCTCATCGGGTGGGTCCGCGATATCAGTTCTGCTGTCAGCATCCAAGGCACACCCAGCCAACATGCAGCAACAACTTCAGGGATCGGCAACACAAGAGGCGGCGGCGGTCCTCCCGGGGGGCAGTGACGGCAGCGCTGCCGCTGCCGCCGCGGGGCCGGCGCCAGCGGACCTCCCTGCTTTGCATGTTGCCGCCTTGGACTCACTGCTACAGCAGGCGACACGGCACCTGCAGGCAGCCAGTGACCCCAGCGCCTCCACCTCGGGCACTGCACAACCGTCGTTGTCAGCGCTAGAGGAGATTCTCCGTCAGCTGCGGGAGCTTACCCGCAGAAGCAGCGGCAGCAACGGCGGCGTTTCGGCAGTGGTGCCGGCAGCGCCACCGCCACGATCGCCGCCGCGGCCGTCGGCCGCAGTCCCTGCTGCAGCGGCCAACAGCGACGGGGGCCCCGACGCGACGTTTGGCGTCACAGCCGATGGGATGCGGTCGAGGTCGGTGCATTTCAGCGCCGGTGGTGTGGACAACGGCGGTGGCGGCAACGGCGGTGGCGGCAACTGCGGCGATGGAGGTGGTCGCAATGGTGGTGGTGGCGGTGGCAGCGTCTGCGCCAGCGCCAGCGGCGGTGTAGCCAGCGGTACCAGCGCCTGCAGCAATGGTCACAGCGAAGATTGGAGTGCTGCAGGCCGCCGGATGCCATCATCTGTGGGCAGCGCACCGCTTTGGGTGCGTGGCGAAGGGGCCACGGGTTGTAAGCGTGGTTTCGTAAACGGCGTGGGGTGTATGGGTGGATGGTTCTTGAGTGGTGGTCATGCGACGTGGTGCGGATCTTTGAGTGACGCAGGGGGTGTGGCACACGTGGGTGGCGTAGCAGCATAGGAATACCTGCGCCGCCGAACCACCAGGACCCCCAACCCAGCCCAGTGGCGAGCCCGCACGTTGTACGTTGCATGCGGTTTCTGACAGCACGCCGTTTTGGGAGGGGGGCCCCAGCAATTGACGGAAAGCCGTCACGTCGCCGCCGCCCTCTGGGTCAACCCCTCCGGCCCCATCTCTACCCAAGACTCGACAGTCATCGGACCTTTCTTACATCGCACCTTTCCACGTCATGGCCTCTCACTTCTCTTGGCCTCTCCCCTCCAGGGGCCCGGTATACTTGGCATGCCCGTTTTTGGACCCCGCACTTCCTGTCACTGCTCTCCTCTTTCCCTCTTATGGTTAGGGTTTCCACTACACACACACATACACACACGGCTCGCCTTGGCTGCTCGTATATGAGTCTTACCTTCGTCGGCGGTTTTTTCCTTGGTAATCTTCCGCGTCCCTGTTCACCAGGTGAGCTCTACAGTAACGGGCTCCACGGCGCAAGCCCCCTCCCGAGTCTCGCGGGCAGTCAGCAGCCCCTCGCGTCTGGGTGTAGAGCCAGCAGCTGCCCCACGCGCCTTCTCCACGGCAGCAGCCGGTGGCGGCGACGCAGCGGCAGCTGCCATTGCAAACGGCAGTTCACGAGCCGCTGACGGTGTTGCCACCCATGCGCCAGTGCCATCCGTCGTGTGGGGGCCACCGCTGTTCACCCAGCCTCAGCAGCCCGCCAGCTACCGACATCCTCCCTCGGGGCCCGCCGCCGGCCCACACACATCCTACCCGGCGCCGTACCAGGCGCCGCCTCCGTACTTGCGTGATGACCCGGCAGCGCATGGCGATAAGCGCGCCGCGGTGCCGGCGGCAGAGGGGCAGCGGCGGCAGGGCGCAGTGCAGGATGCAGCGCTCCGCCGGAGCTATCAGGGTTTGCAGTCGGGCGCGCATCCGTACCCCGTCTTCTCCTCCTTTGACGCTGCGCAGGGAACAGCTGGCGCTGGCGCCCGCGGCTCAGCACCGCAAGCTGGCGGCCCCTCCTACTTGGAGCTCGCGGCCCAGGCGGCAAAGCTGCGAGAGCAGCTGGCTGCCGCGGCCCGCCAGTCGCCGCCGCAGCAGCAGCCACAACACCAGCCACCGCAGCAGCAGCAACGGCGGCACACCTTCGCAGGCACACAACCCGCCCAGCAAGGCATCAGCCATCACCAGCAGCAGCAAAATGAGACCTTGCAAAACAGGGCCGTGTATCATCACCCGGCCCAACCAGACACCCGAGCGGCCACAGCCGCGGCCGGTTTGGCCGCGTCAGCGGACTGGCAGTCGTCTCTGCAGTCCAAGCTCCTGCCGTACGAAGCCATACGGACGCGCACTTCCCTTATTGACGCTTCCTCAACGTTTGCAGTGGCGCCGGCCGCGGCCAGCAACGGCGGCGGCGGCCCTGCAGAACAGATGAGGCCCAGGAATGCCGCCGCGGCGGCAGCACGCCAGTCGCAGCCCCGGTCGCGACCTCAATCACCCGCAGGGTTCCGACCTGGGGCGCGTACAAATGGTGGCAGGGCAGGCGGTCCAGCTGGAGCATCTGCGCCAGCAACTCCACGCAACGGGGACATGCCGGCACGCAGCGCCCTTGCAGCGGCGGCGCCGCCACAACAGCAGTACGGCGCTGCCGCTGGCAACCCCTCCATGTCTAAGAGCCCACCGGCGGGACGCAGCGGCAGCATTCTCGATAGGGCAGCAGCGTACGGCGGCGGTGGTGGTGGTGGCAGTGTAGGCGGTGCTGCTGCGGCGGCTGCCCATGGCAACGGTGGCGGTGGCGGTGGCGGTGGAGGCCGCAGCGGCAGCTCACCGCAGCGAGCGCGGTCGGTCTCACCAGTGACCTCAGAGCCCATCATCATCTCGCGTCCGTTTGCGTGGCAGGTAATGCGGGGCCCGGCTCCACCTGCAGCTCCCGCATCAACCCGGTCCAGGCGGAATGGCGGATGCGGATAGGCGGAACATGCTGCCTTCCCAGGTCATTCGCTGTTCAAGTCATGCCGGCTCGCGCCCGCCAGGTTGCTCCTGCCTTGAGTCCCCGGCTTACGCCCTTCAGGCGTCTCAGCTAGGATTGGGGCATGCAACTTGGCCACGTGTAGAGGGGTCTCGAGAGCTTTCCTGGCTTGTTCGCCTTTGCTACCCTGTCCTCCCTAGCCGGCCCAGCACCAAGATGGGAGATCCCGCTTTCCTGCCGAACAAGCCTTTCCTTTTCTCTTTCGGGTTGGTTGGTTAGCACTCTTAACTACCCATGTGATTATAACCGGTCCCCCTTCCTGCCCCTCACGTGGGCTTCACCCTCGCGTGCGTCCCCTGCTATACTCCGCAACTCCAGGAGCGGGAGACGCGGCAATGGCTGGACGACATGGGCCTTACGGTTACACCAGCGGAGGTAAGGCCCTCCTAATTTGTACTTTCAAGAAGCTTCACCTTGATATGGAAAAAAAGCAGTATTTGTTGCGTTTACAGTCTCACACAATTGAAAGGTAAGGTAGTAAACGACTTTGATGGTGTATCGCAGTCGCTCTTTCTACACATGCTCGCAAGTACCTTCTCGGTACCCTCTACCCCACCTCCATAAAGTCCCATCCCGTTGGGTCTTTCTTTCATTCCTCTCTCCGCCGCCGCCTGTTCCAATCCAGCACCATGTCGGTCTGCCCGCCGCGCCGTTTTCCGTTTTCCGATCCCAGCTCTATGTTCTGAGCTACGTAGGTTTCAACCAGCCTGTCTCCTTCTCCTCCTCCTCCTCTTCCTCCGGGCCTCCGAGTCCTGCCCCATTAACAACTCTCTGTCAGGGCCCCCCGCCACCAACTTCCATCTTGGTCTGCTTTGAGTTGACCGTCTTTTTCTATATAACCCACTTGAATCCTCATGTGCAATTCACTTCTATCAGCCCTAGCCTCTTTCCGTGTGGCACGTCTTTGGCTCTGTGCACTGCACCGCGCCACCTTCAGGAGTCCCTGCCCCTGCTGGACAATCCGCTCCGAAACGGGTTGCTGCTGGCGGCATTGGCGGCCTGTCTGGCCGGGTCCCCCCTGCCTGCCGGTGTGGTGACGGACCCGCCTCGAGACGTGCGCTCGGCCCGCACCAACATCCTGTGTGCACTGGACCACTTGGGGCTGCTGGCGGCGCCGTGGGTGGGTGCGGGGGGGAAGAGGGCGGGGCCAAGGAAAAGACAACCGGGGGACGGACCGATGTTTGGTCATTTGGGCGCCCTGGTTTAAGGAATGGTTGTGATTGAAACATGGCTCAACCTGCACAACCAGCAACAGACGTCCAGGGTGAAGGGGAGGGCCGTATGATTGAGAGGCACACATGCGTCCCCTGTTGTGAACCAGCGCGGACTGCGGACACGACTACCCTGGAGGCGAAGGGGGGGAACCACGTAGAACGAGGAACATAGCAGACTTTATCGCTGTTGGGGTGGGTCAAGAGTGGGCAACATAGATCTAAGAACGGGGAGTAACCTAGTTAGGTAAGTGGTTTCGTATTTCATATGCATGCAGAATATTTCGCGACGTAGAAACCCTGCCTCCCTCCCTGCCTCCCTGTGTCCGAAGAATGGTGATAATTCGCTCTTTCTGAATTTTTAAAAAGTCTACTCTCCCTTATCGCACGGCCACGTACCGTACCGGTATGTTGCAGGCACCCCCTCCCGATGCTGAGCGACGCGCCAGGGCGCAGGCGGCGACAGTGGCAGACGTGGGACCTGCTGCTGCCGGCGGCTGCGGCGGCGGTAGCAGCAGCAGCAACATCAGTGCGGGCGGTGGCGGTGGCGGTGGCGGTGGGGTCTGCTCGCGGTTCCCCAGTCCAGGAGGCAATGCTGCCACCGGGCCCACCACAGGTGCAATACTCCCATACCGGCCTCCTGTGTCGCTGTGTGCGCTCCCTGCCCTTCCTTAACCGCTCCGCCTTTTTTCATCACTTCCCGGTTCGCCTGTCCATCTGTTCATCTGTCCTCCGTCCATCCAGGCGTCCATCAACTGGTCCGCTGGCTCCCTTCCCTCCTTGCGTCTCAGAGGTTGACGCACCTGTCATTGGGCAGAGGGCCGCCCTCAACCAGTCCGCCTGCCTACCTTTCTGACCCTGACCTTTTCGTCCCGCTCATTTACGGCCTCTGACCTATCGCTCCGTCCCGCCGCTACCGCGAACTCCTTACCTGTCGGCATTCGGCCCATGACGTCCTGTGCGCCGCTTGCACGTGTGACCTCTGTGCGGCGCATTGCCAAGGGGAGCCGCTCCTTGGAAAGGAAACCTAGGGGACATGGAACGGGAAGTGGCTCATGTCCATGCGGCTCTATTACCTTCCCTGCTCTTTGAACGAGTCCCAGCAAGACCGACTCCTCCTATGCAACGCACGGCTGCTGCTCACATAGCACACACCGCCACAACGGCAACGGCCCTAACTGACCAACAACCGACCCAATCATCAACCGTTGCTGCAGGCTCATCAGGGATCATCGCCATCAAAGCACTCGGCAGCGCCGGCCGTGGGTACGCCCTACGGCTCAAGGTACGGCAATGTACACAGTGCGGCGCGCGAAACTTTAGCAAAATGCAAAGTCCCCGTTCCGCAACACCGATTCACCCACGGCTGTAACAGCCGAGCCCGTTTTTCTTTTTTCCTAGTCCTAACCCATGAAAACTGCACCCACCCACACACCTACACAGGAACGCCAGCTGAGGGCGGGCTTGGGTCTGATAGCGGAGGTGGAGTCCATCTTGGCTGGCTCTGCGGACAGCATCTGGGGGCTGCTCAACTTCATACGACTGGCCCATGCGCCGTCGCAGTACCAGCAGCAGCTGCGAGGGAGCGTGGGAGGCTGGATGGGAGCCGGGATTGCGGCGGGGCCGGGGCAGAGACGTTGGGGAACCTTGGCTGGGGTGGGCGAGGAGCTCGCACGGAGGTGAGTGAGCGGGGGGAGAGAGAGAAGAGGAACCCGTGCAGCCGTTGGGGCCCTGGCCGCGGCGTGCGGCAGCGCCGGCCGTGGCTGCACTTAAGGAGATTGGAGATGCGTGCTGTAACGCAGAGGTTGCGATACCTTGTTTTCGTGCTCGGAAGGCCGGAACAAGAGGGCTGTCTATCAGCGAACGTACCTTTCCAAGTACCGGAAGGAGCATTGTCGACTTTGCCGTCTTATCGTCTTATTATCTTCTGCCCTGACGCGGATAGTTTTTGCTCCTTCTAGCCTCTTGAACGTTGGTAGCTTGGTAACCGCGCCCAGCTAGCGCGATTCGCCCTCACTCTCCCTCCCATTCCCTCCCTTCCTCCCTTCCTCTCACACTCCTTCACGCCGTCGCCGCACTGCCGCCCCCCGCACCGTTTACTGTATGCTTACCGCGCTACCTCCCCCGCGCCGCGATTTCACGGCTCGATGTATAATTCTCCTCTTAATCCCGCTTGCATGTCCGCGACATAACTTCTGCCGCCTGGCCCCAGTCCCAGTCCGGGCTCAAGTCCTGACATACCTCCCATACAATACACGTGATGACGCTCCCAAGGCTCTCTGCCGCCGCAGGACATTTGACGTTCGGGGCGGCGCTGGCCCCGATGGAGTGCTTGGGCTTGGACCGGCGCCGGTGCCGGTGCCGGCCATGGCAGCGGCCGCGGCAGCGGCAGAGACGGCAGCGACGGCAGGACCTACTGCCGCAGCCGGCAACGGCCCGCCGACGAGCAGAAGTGGCAGGGCCAGCCCCGGCCGCCCTGGCAGAGGTGGTGGGGGCGGCCCCGCCGGGGAGGATGGCTTTAGTCAGCCGGCGGAGTCGCGGTCGGAGCCGTCGCCTAGCCCGCTGCGCGGCGGCGGCAAGGTGACCCTGGCAGTCGGCGGGCGCGGCCGGGTGGCTGGCGGCCCGGTCGCAGACCCGCGGGTCAGTCAGTCAGTCAGTCAGTCAGTCAGTCAGTCAGGACAAGACACGATGCATGTCCGTATTGAGTACTAGGGAGGAAAACGCCGGCTGCACTCAAACGGGGAGGATTGGAGTTGGAAAATATAGCTAGCGGAGTTATGAACGCTTGGTAAACCGATAGCCTAAAAGTACCAATGTCACGGCCTGTCATTCCCGCTTTCCTGCTATCCTCGCTTTGGTCTTTGCCGTACTGACTCTGATCTGGCCTGTGGCGGAGCATCCAAATGCGTATGGCCGTTATGGCGCCGTTCCGCAGGGATCCATTTTCATGACGACAGGGCCGACGGCTGGGATGCAGCCCGCCAGCCACGGGCACGCCGCGGCGGCGCTGGCGTCAGCCGCTTCCAGCGCCTCCACCGGCGGCGTCGCGGCGGAGAACGGCCTGCTGTACCGGCCACTATGGCCGACGATAACATCGCTGCCGTACAGTCCGTCGGAGGTGGCTACCCTTGAGTCTTCGTTGCTTCAGTGGCTGATGGAGGCCGGGGCGATCAGTCGCCGGGAGGCTGCGCAGGTGCGAGGGAGGCCAATGGTGGGAGGGTGGGAATAGCTTTGCCTGGGAATGCTGTGGAAAAGCAGTTGTCCTGCGTCCGCATGTCCTTTCCGCTAACCACCTCCCAAACGCCTCCACGCCCCTGATTACTGCCCCCATTCCCGACCCCCTCCGAAACCACCATCACGTTCCCGCCTTCCTCTCCCCCTCCCCTCCTCCCCCCCCTCAGGGCTTCCCCGCGCTGCTCCCCATGTTCGAGGACGGCACCTTCATTTGCTGGCTGGTGTCCAATCTGAGTGGCAGACCCATTGTTGGGGCTCACCGCAGGTGGGGAAGAGCGATAGGGCCACGAGGGGGCTGACGTTATGAAATGTGATGGTCCGGGGTTCCGGGGCTTCTGGAACCTCTATGGGCCGTCTGTGGTGTGCTCAGGATCGCCCTCCCAACGCCAGCCACACAGCCATTCGCCCGCATCCGCTGGGGCCCTTTCGTGCCTGGGTCTTGTTTAGGCTTTGTCTTGTTTAGGCGTGTCAGTGTCGGATTTGTTGTTTTATCTCATCATTACTCCAGGATGCCCCAACCATTAATGCTCACACGTCCAGGCGCCAACCCATCCCGGCCTCCCTCCCCCTGCAGACCTCTAACTGAGGCTGCTCGACGCACCAACTGGTTCAAGGCCATTGAGGCGCTGAGGAAGCTACCCGGCATGTCCAGGAGGTGACCCGGGCGGGACGGAGCGGGGGGGGCATATCCGGGATACTGAAAGGGGAAAGGGGGATGGGGGTGAAGGCGAGCGGCCCCGGAGCTGACCCGAGCGTGGGGGGAAGCATGGAGGCAGCCTGGGTGTTGAGTGGAGGTGGTGTGCGTATGTGCCTGATGTAGCTGGATCCGGGTCAAGGGCAGACGCTGGAGGCGGGGGCCAAGGGGAGGAAGGGAAAGGAAAGGGGTAACCTTCTCAGTCGTTCGGATCTCTAAGCGATCTTTTGCATGCGCACGTGTGTGCATGTGTGTTTTTGTATGGGTAGTATGCTCCCGTCGGCAGGCAGGCAGGCAGCGCCCTCCCTGGGCCTACTCGCCATCATGTATACTAGGTCGCTCCTCCAGTCCTCTTTCCAACTCACCTCCGGCATTTACCATCTCATTTGCCCGTCTCATGGAACCGCTCCCGCCCTCCCTGGTTGCCTGTCTATCGGGCCGCCTTATCCTTGTTCACCTCTGCCTTCACATCCTTTCGTCGATTACTCTCGTCTTTTTTCTTTAACACCTTCCCTCCCTCCTGTCTCCTCCCTCTGCTGCCCCAGGTTCCTGGTGTACGAGGAAGCGCTCATGCACTGTGAGCGGCCCCTGCTGACCGGGCTGTTGGAGGACCTGCACCGCCTCGCGGGCGGTATGCCGCCGGTGAGGTGAAGTGGGGAAGGGGTTTAGGGTTTTAGGATAGAGACGTGGGGTGAGGGCTAGGGAAGGAAGGAGGGGAGGTGGACGGAACGGTGAGGAGAAAGGGGGGAGAGGGGGAGGGGGTTTTGAGAGGACGCCGAGGCGGTGGCGGCAGCTAGGAAGGACGCCGGTAGCGGGAAGTGGGCTGTGTCGAGGTGTCTGTTTGCGGGGGTGAACTGCGAACTGCGGGTGGAAGAGGGGACATGCAGCTCCGGAACACCGTGCTCGGGTGCGACTGGGCTTTGGTACGGGGCCGTTTGGGAGTGGAGGTTTCCGAGCCGGGTGGCTGCGGACTAGGTGGCGGAAAGCGGGAACCCAACACAGCTTTCGGGGTATGAGTGCTCCTGGTAGCAAGGACAGGAGGAAGGGCTGTGCTGTAGCCGCAGTCGGGGCAGCTGCTGACCGCTACCGCAACCTTTTTCCGCAACCTTTGCTGACAGAGGCAATCTCCCACGCGAGAGCTATCTGCACCTCCCCTCTTCTTCCTCCCTTTCCTTCCGCTCAGGCACCCAGCAAGATCCTGCCCGACGCCAAACCATACCTGCCGTACGTGGTTCCGGAGCCCGTGGTGCGCACACTGCCGCCCGACCGCATCGCAATAAACCGTGGCTCGCCCGTCGCCTCGCCGCTGTGCACTCCCACACCGGGCCGGACCTCAAACAATAAGGCCCCCTCCAACCTAGGTCCCCAGGGCGCCGCGAGGTCCCGTAAGAGTACACCCTCGCCCTCACCGCGGGCCGTCACGCCAAGCCGCCACTGGTCCACAGGTAGCGGCGGTTCCGCCACCGCCGCGCCGCACCAGCAGCACCCGCTTTTCCAGAAGGCCGTGCCGCCACCTCCTTGCAACAACTCCGGCTTGCCTCCGGGACAGTTCAATAAGAATGCGAACGGCAGTCCTGGCGATGTGTTCACGAGCCCTGCTGCTGCTGCTGCTGCTGCTGCTGCTGACAGTGACAATGACGGCGGCGCCGGCGGTGTGAACAGCGCTAGGGAGGGCAGTAATGGCAGTCCCGGACGCGAGCGGCGGCCACGCAACGTAGCCACTGCCACCGCTGCTGCTGCTGTTGCTGCTGCTGCTGCCGGCGTGCGGCGCGCGGCGGCAGTCAACAGCGCCTCCGCCGGCGGCGCCGGCCGCGGCCTCATCACCGATGTCATGGTAACCCCGACCAAGGTGCTGCCGGCGGCGGCGTTGGCAGCGGCGATACAAGTTTCAGAGCAGCAGCAGCAGATGCAGCAGCAGGGGCGGCGGCGGACGGGGCCCGCTATCACCGCTGTCGACCTACTCCACGCTTCGTTCCCGGTTGTGTGGGCCAACGGGCTGACGAACGTACGGCAGTCTCTCCCGGGACACCCCCCTGGGCAGCAGCAGCAGCAGCAGCAGCACGATCGCCTCCGACATCACCAGTACCTGGTGGCGAACCTGCGAGGCAGTCGCTCGATGGGCGGGGCCCTGGAGTCTTTCTCATCCTCGTCCCCCGCCGTCTCGCCACGGCTGCGGCTGGTGCCATCCGCGTTGTAGCTTGTACTGCTTTTCGGAGTGCCACGTGCGCTGTTTATCTCCCTGTCGGCGTCTGCATGTGCGTGTCTGCGCGGCAGGAGAGGCAGTTTGTGTGCGTATGTGGGGCATGTTACCTGATAGGCCCTGATGCTGCGGTGTGCGTGTGCGTGTGCGTGTGCATGGGTGTGGGTGTGGGTGTTTTAAGGATTTGAGCCACGTGGGGTGTGTGGGGTGTGGGGAGGGGGTTATGTGGGGTGTGGGGGGTTGCGTCTCTCGCTGTGGCATACGGGTGACGGGTGTCCCCAGTGACGCACCTTCTTGCTGGCGTTCGCAGGGGGGAGAAAATTCCTGATTTCGCCCAACGATTCGTGTAATTTATTCGGGGAAGTGGGAGGGGTTGAAAGAGGAAGAAGGGGTAGGGGTTCGGGTAGGGACGCAGGCGCGGGAGGGGATGGGAAGTAAAGGCCGAAGGAAACACGCCCGCAGCGCTTCGGCCGGTGATGCGGCGGTCTGTCGCGTCGTCATATCATTCTTTCATGCATCCATCTATTTTCGTGTGGCTCCTCTTCGGCGTGTGGTCCCGGAGCCGGGAAGCTCTTATTGACATATCCCTACCTAGGTAGGTGGGTAATGCACCATGCAGAATGTCAGCCGGAGGAACGGATCATCCAACCCATTGTGGTCAAGGATCTTCCAGAGTGACACTTCCTGGTGATGCTAATGGTGATGATGCTAATGGTGATGATGCTAATGGTGATGATGCTAATGGTGGTGATGCTAATGGTGATAGTGATGATGATGCTCATGATGAACGATGGTCCATTCACACCGGATATGTCATCGTACCTGGTACTGTCGTGCAGGGTACGGCTGACTGACGAGCCTGACTCGCGCGCGGGACACCTGACTGACTCACTCACCCCTGTACTGCCTCTGCTGCTGCTGCTGTTGCTGCTCTGGTAATGATGATGATGATGATGATGATGATGATGGTGCTGCGTGTGCGATTGCATCGCACGAGACCTACTGAGAATGTCTGGTCTGAGCCCACATGTGGATAGCGATGCCTGGTGGAAAAGGACACGGACGGAAACATGCCCGCGGTCTGCGGCGCTCTATGTGCGGTGGCGCTGTGGTGTGCAGGTGTGCATTGTTTGTATGTGTGTGCTGTTTGCAAGGAAGAGGAGGAGGAGGAGTAGATGCGGCATCTGCGGATCATGTGTGTTCGTAAGTGTGTATGTCTGTCTGTCTGCATGTACCACTCCTGAATGGGAGCTGACGGTAGTGGCAGGGCGTGGCGTAGATTTGCCGAGGAGCCGTACTGGCTCTTGGAGCCGGAAAGGGTCGAGAAGAGAAATCTTGGAAGGAGGAGAAAGGTATTCAAGGTAGGGAGGGGTAAGAGGGGACGGTCGGGAAAGCCGTTATTGCCGATTATTTGCACGTGGTGTCAGGGTGGCCATTTTTGGGTAAAAAAAAACCAACGAAAGGAAAATGTAAAACAAGGTCAGTGTTACACACGTCTGGAAAGGTCTGGAATTATGTGGTCGCTTACACAGCGGCGGCGGCGGCGGCGGCGGCGGCAAGGGAGAGTTCGAGAAAGCCGTATATCGGTGGGTCGGTGGGTTTGTACACACGGGTACTGCCGACTCACTGGTCACTCACATATATAGCAGTCAAGGAGGGGGAGAGTTTCATGAGCCCAGTCCATCGTGTCCCCCAATGGGCTTTCTTTCTGGATTTGCCATCCAGGTCGAAGTACGTGGCGGAAGGTGCAACCTTCATCCGGACTGCTGGCAGCGGCCCGACATAGCGCAGTCCCCACACTGTGGGTTGGTGTGTTAATTTTTTCATTGTGCGCGTGTGTGGAGGGCGCTGACCTGTGTGCCCTCGGAGGGGTTTTCACCACCTGGCGCTTCCGTATTGCGGTATTTGACACTGCGAAGTGCTGGATTGGCCTTTGTAACAACCCCGTGTTAAAGCATTTGGGTGCTGGAGACGCCGGTGATCTTTTTATGAGGTGATCTGATCCGTTGTTTGTAACGAAGCCTATACCTGTTAGGAAATAGACTGATGAGCAGTATATCTTGGCAAGAACGACTCGGGGGCATCGTGTTCGTGTCGGTGGATATATTGGGCTGTTCGAATAAATTAAAGTTAAAGGGCCTCCAGCTGCGGCTCCGAGCGCCTCTCTTTCCGAATCCGCTGACCTGCAATGCTTAGGGAGTCCCGGCAAGAGCTGGGGACACCCGCTGCCAGCAGGGTGCTAATCCTCCCCATCCCTCCCCTTTCCTTAACCAGGTAAGCGCCCCCGGTCCTACAGCTTCTAACAGTTCTCAAATCCCAATGAATAACCCCACGCCGTCTTGTTTTCAGGCACTTTAGAAGGGGCTGAGGAGCGGGTTTCTTGAGCTCCTGCTTACGTGCATTCTCTTGGCTGGCTGGCTGGAAGGACTATTGATGAAAGTAAGGATTGATGTGCCACATCGAGAACTGCACCGTACCACGTCACAAACGCAGGATGTATGTCACCCAGGGTGTCTGCGCACAACAGCGGAACCAGGGCAAGCGCTTCTGGACACGAGAGAGGGTTTCATCTGTGAAACAATGCTGCTGGGCTTGGTGGCAAGTGACACCACTTCGCTCGCTTACTAAAACGTTTCGGAACGGACAATATGATGCAGAAGACCCCGCCGGCGACTTTGGGCGCACAAGGCAGAGCTGGTTTGTAAGGTGAGCTCCGTGGAACAAGAGCAAGGGGCAACGGTGCAAAGCTCAAGTTTAAGGTATCCCATTTCCTAACCGACCACTACAACCAGGCCGTACAGCCGTGCAACCGATCCTCCGAGAGTCAAAGGCTGTCATACAGCACACAAAGCCAGAAATGTAGTGTTCCGGTACCCGCGCTGACCTCAATTACTGCTGGGTGCATTCTTTGGGGCTGCACGTAAAAGTCTGTTGCTGCACGTAACGCCTGCTCTTTGGGGAGCGGGCGTCAATGAAACATTCGCAGAATCGGAATGGTCCTGATGAAGCTATCAGGGGCTGATTCACTAACTAACAGAAATATGGAACAAACAGCGGCTCCCTTCGCCTTCCTGCTCAGTCATGCGCGAGGTCTAGGAGGACAAGCCAGGGCATGGGTGCAGAGACACAAACCTGTGACCATTGCTGGATGGCTAGTGAGTATAAAATTGTTTTGTCGTGATCCTGGTGGGGTGTATAACTTGAGCTCATCATCCGCAGGGCATTTCGGCGGTAGCTGGAGTGGCCTCAGCTGTTTCTGCCCTTGCACTGGTAGCAGCACTCGTCGTGACCTTTTGCGCTATGGTCGCTTTGCTAGGCGCTGCATTCCTGTTTGGTGGGTGCCCGCGCTTTCGCGATGCGAAAGCTTTCATCAGCTGTGTCCGCGCTTCTCCGGTGCCCCGTCACCTCATCACCAAGATACGTTTTTTGCATTTTGCAGGAATTACCCTCGGTTTCTGGTTGTGCGTTTCGGCTTGGGTGGCCTTGGCTTTCTCTGCGATGGCTGCTTCCATGGCGGCATGGCTGCTCATGGCTCAGCTGGGCCTGGGGCTTCTGAAAGCTGCCACGGCTTGGCACTGGGTTGGGCAATGGTAGGTCTAGAGGGCTAGGGTGCCTATGGTCTAGCAGCCCCAAGCCCCCTGCTGCTATACCAAGGGGGGGGGCCACCTATCATCCTGCGGCCCGGAGGCTTGCTTCTCTGTCCCTTACCTTACTCTTACCTCGCCTTACCCTCCAAACTCAACTCAAGTGGGCCGCTGGCGGTGCTCCCACAGAGTCCATCAGAGCGGCCATTGACTGTTCCCGAATAGCTGCCGCTGACACAGCTGGCACTGCGCCCCTGTCTGCTCACCCCGTCCCCCTCTGCACACATACATACATACATACATATACATACATACACTAATCATTCCTTCTTCACTTAGAGCGGGTGACCTGCTCCCCTAAATGCCGTACATTCCTGCCGCCGTACCATACCACTCCCCCTCCCTCCCCCTCCCTGCCCCCGGCTCTCAAAGGTCCCCCGCGCCCCACGCGGCTCACACGCCCGGGGGAATCCAACCGGTGGGCAAGCACAACCAGCAAATTGCCTCAGCAGCTGTCGTACAGACCACCCCGGCAGCGGCCGCAGCTTCACCGCCGCTGCCGCCGGCCATTACGAAGCTCACCGCGCCGTCGCCCGCAGGGCCCTCCTCCAGCCCCTCCTCCCCACCCCCCCGAGAGGACTGGAACCCCCGCGGCAGCAGCGGGGGCGGGGGCGGGATGCGACTCGACCTTCCGTGTGACCGGTCCCGCAGTGCGGCCGCAGCATCATCGTCGCACGGTGGCGCTGTGGCGGCGGACGCGCCGCAGCGGCCGCTGTCCCCCCCCGCCATAGCGGCGGCGCCGCCGTCGCCGTCGCCATCACCCTCTACGTCCTCTTCCTCGCTGTCACCGCCGTCGTCGGGTTCCCTGGAGAACCTGCACTTGCCGTTGCCGCCGCCGCCACCGCTTGACAGTGACGATGATGATGAGGCGGCGGGGCGGAGGGCACCACCGTCGCCTCGGCGGTGGAAGTAATCGCAGCTGAGTAGCCGGGGGTGGCCCTGAGGCCCCCCTCGCTCCCCCTCGCCGCCCCTTCCCCCCGCAAGAACGCCTACTGGTCAGTTCTGCTTCTTGTACACTCTTTCCTTGGCAGCAGCAGCAGCTTCACTCGTTCGTGGTTCGTCTCCCACCCCTCCTCCTTTCGGACAGCATTGCAACGCGGGAGGGGATCCCCGGGGGCTGCGCTGCCCTCAAAGCGTGTGTGTGGGGGGGCGGGCTGGCAATGGTTGACTCCGTGTGGTGGTGGTGGTGGTGGCGTGGTGGTGGCGATTGTTGGCGTTACCGGTTACGTCCCCACACCCCACACCCCTAACCCCCCGGGATTAGAAGAGGGAAAACACGTCGTGGCATGGGTTGGGTTTGTTTGGATTTGGGTCCGGATTGCAGGTGGTGGTGGTGTGTTCAGTGACTTTGGTGAGGTAGTGTTGCTGGTAGTGTTGCTGGAGGCCGTCGTAATCTCTCCGGTGGGTCGATTGCGGGTTCCTCTGTCGTTGTGGCGGGGGTGGGTAGGGGTGGGGGCGGGTAGATGGGTGAAGGAGGAGATTTGTATCGTCAGGTTGTCAATAGGTATGTATGTATATATATGTATGTATATATGTATGTATGTATGTATGTATGTATGTATGTATGTCACCTGGAGGTTGTCAATATCGGGTTTGTTCTACGAAGCGCGCTATGCCTGCATGTGTCTAAGGTTGTACGCAAAAGCTGCAATCGCATTGTGACGGTGGCGGTGTGTGATTTGTGGAGCGCCGGGCCGAGGTGGAGTGCGACGTGGTGTGCGGGCGCCTGTACAAAGCATTGCGTAATGTTGGTTCGGTTTGGAGGTCGTTTCCCCTCCCCCCCATCCGGTAGCATTATGTTGTGGTTTATTGCCTTGCATTGATGTGAGCCGTTCATGAAGATGGTTTGCTCACTCACATTTAGAGATGCTTTTGTTGCTTTTGTCATTGTTGTTGTTGAGTCGAAACCCGTGCGGCACACATACATACACACATACACACATACATACATACATACATACATACATACATACATACACAGGGAGTCCCTCTTCCTCTCTCTCCCCCCGTCTTTCTTTCTATCTTGTGAAGGCACGTGGGTGATTCGGACACTAGTTCCTTCAGCAGCTCCCGCAGCTCCCGCAGCTGCCGCTGTTGTAGTCTCCTTTTTGGAACTGTTGGCAATGATGGTCGTCGTCGTCTTCGGTGACCTCCTGCTCCCCCCACTCCCCCCTTCCGTGGCATCAGCTTCACTTGCTGGTGGTGCCGTCTTTCAACCCCCCCGCCCCCTCCCCCCACAACCCGCCCAATGCCGGCCGGCAGGGGTTCTCCTCCTGGGGTGGATGCACTGGGGTTTGTGACTTGTTGGGCCACAGGTGGGGGTTATGTCGCCCTGCAGTGCCCCCTGCTGCTGCTGCTGCTGCTGTTGCCGCACCACATGGGTCACATGGGTCGGGGGCGTTGTGTTGTTGCGCCGCAACCCCCCTCGGTGCCAACAGCGCTGGAACGGTCCCCGACCCGACCTGACCTAGCCTGGTCGACTGTGCTCTGGGGCCCCGCAGTGGTATTGAGCTGAGCTGAGGGGAGCTGGGAGATGTGAGGGGGCTGGAGGGGCTGGCGTGTGTGTGTATGTGTGTGTGTGTGCGTGTGTCTGCAGGGACTCCTTTCCCCCCTTTGGTGTTTGAAAGGTGGTGTATTCGTTTGTCTTCTATTTAGAGGTACGGTGACAAACGGAACGGGGTGGGGTCGGGGTCGGGGTTGCCTCCCTTGTGCGCTCTGCCTCCTGTAGTGGTCTGTGTGGGGTGGTACCCCCCGCCACCCCCGCCACCCCACCTCCTGGCGAGCGGCGTTCTTCTTTCTTCCCAATCTTTGGTGCATTTTGTGTTATTTGTTGGGGCGTCAGACTGACCTGGCGAACTTGGGACACAGGAAAAGGGGGTGGTCACCTGCCTGGGCTCATGGGGCGGGTGTTGGGAGGCGGCTGTGGGCGGAGTGGATGCTGGGGCCACAGATGCGCTCGGCCTTGCTGCCGTGCTGCAACTGTGCATTAAAGGCGGCAAGGTTCCGGAAGAATCTTCTACGGCACACTTGGTGCTTTGGACGACTCCTGTTTTGCTTGCTGTTCTCGGTTCTGTTCTCGGTCGTCTCAGAATCTGGATTGGTAGGTTACGTGAGAGGTAACGAGGTGTGTAAAAAATTGCACTGAGGTGGAATGGAGTGTTACAGTTGTGTTGATGTAAATGGGTTGAGGGCTGCTGCAGCAGTGGAACTGCTCCCCAAAGTTCCGAATAGGAACCGGCTTTATGGATCTCCAGCGGCTACAGGAGAGCCACTTCTGGCGTAAGCTCAGTACGTGATGCCCGCTCATGTGGTAACCCTTGGGAGCTCAATGTTAGGTCCTGTCGGTTTCGCTTAAACAGCACACATGGATTCATCCTACATTCGCTCTTCATGGATGGGTGGCGGGGAGTCGGGCGTGGCATTGGGTGGGTTGGAAGATGCTGGGTGAACAGGTTTGAGGAAGTCTTTCATGGAAGCAGTCAACGGGAGCAGACTTTAAATGTTACTTACAGAATTGGAAAATTGAAAATCTTCTCCGCACAATGCCAGGCGCAGGCAACCCGTGATTGCTCATCGGTCAATCGCTCCGAAACCTGGATTGTTCGTCTTCTACCAACGTATTGATGTCTTTATGTTTGCTCGTTTCCCGTGTGGAGAAGGTACACTTTAAGCTTCTGGTAGGATAGGAAGTTACTGCGACTTCCAGAGCTCTTCATCTCAACCAGCGTCGAGGCGAAAGGGATGGGATAAGCGTTCTCCGCAACGTGGACAACTGGGTTCCATACCGGACCTGCGGTGATTGAATTAAGCAGAATTGATTGAAAAGCTTGTACAGTCGAGGGGCATTTTGCGTTAGGAGCACTGATGGCGCGAGGTCGTGGCCGATCGGCGGGGAAGCGCCAAGGGCCTGGTGCCGCAGCTTCAGGGCGCGAATCTCCCCACGGTGCGAAACGGACAGGATTAAACAGGGAACATGCCGGACGCGGCAACACCGGTCGTGGCGCTGGACCGTCGACCGCAGGTTCGTCATGTCACGGGAGTCCAGAACCCACCTTTGGGCCCTCAATCCCGCAATTTACGAGCGCAACCAAGCGGCAAAGCCCCTGTCGTTCAACACAAAATAAGCAGTTTCTCGCCCAAGCCAGCTGTTAACAGGGTTGGCTTTCGCTTTCGCGTCTTCCAAACCCTAGCGTGCCCCTCCTGCGGTTCGCATAGCACACATCTTTCGGCCACTGAGGACTGACACGCCGTCCAACGGTTTTCCCCCACCCCCTTCCTTACAGTTCTGCTTCTCGTACATTCTTTCCTTGGCAGCAGCAGCTTCACGCTTTCGTGGTTCGTCTTGACCCCCCTTTCCTTCCAGCCATGAAGATGAAAAATCCTCTCCTGTGAACCACACGCCATACACAATGCCATCACGACAGGGTAGCTAGCCCTAGGTTCCCCCAAAAAACTCACTGCCCATCTGCTTAACACCCGCATCCTCGTACATCAAACAACCAATACCGCTGCTCGTACCAAACTTCCAACCGCCACAGCCACCTCTGCGCGCAATGCACGTGGCAACGGGGGCCCGGGTCCGTCGTCGGGGCCGCGTGTTCCCGCCCCTGGAGCAGCGGGTCGTGGTGCTGCCGGGGGGGCCCCGGGGGGGGGAGGAGGACGAGGAGGAGGCGGAGGAGGAAGAGGCGACCTGGCCGCGGGCGGCCGTGGCGGCCCGAGTGCAGGTGGGTGGGTGGGTATGTGGGTGGGGTGCCGGCTGTGGGCTTCCCTCGGGCCTGTGTTTCGCGAACCAGTTGGTGTAGAGGGGAGAGAGACTGTCCATCTGTCTGTCTGTTTGTCTGTCCGCCCACATGCAAATGCAGATGCTGCGCCTGTCCCCCAATTCCCCCTACCCACCCACCTACACCAATGGCCGGGCTCCCCAGCTCCGGGGCCGCCTCTCCCCACCTCCTCATCCACCTCCTTATCCACCTCCTCATCCGGCCCATCCGGTCACCTCTCACATCACACCACATCACATCACGTCAGTGGCTTCGGGCCTTCCCCCCCCCAGGTGATGTGGGCGCAGGCCGACACCAAGGGCAACCCCGCCAGCCCCCTCCCCCGCTGCCTCGAGCCCCTCCCCCCGGGGGGCCTTATCCGGGACGCCGGGGGGCCGGGGGATCGCCCTTCACCCCGGGGGGGGGGCCGGGCGGGGAGAAGCCGGTGTACGGCAACAACAGCTCCCCTGTCGTACTGTACGGCCTGGCCAACCAGCACTTGTTTGTGGAGCTGGAGAAGGATGGCGTATGGAAGGTACGTACGGCATTGTGTATCACCATTTGTGCACGAATCGCCGTTGCGGGAGTAGTAACAAATGTTTGATGTTGTCATTCAGGTTGTCCTTGAGGGTGCTGTGGGGCTGGGTGGGGGGTGGGAGGAGCGGGGGGGCGGATGGAGCCGAACGGAGCGACGACCGATAGAGTGTTTGTGTGTATGTATGTATGTTTGGGCGACACTGTACGGATGATCGGAAACCCGAATCGACACAACTACCGGAGCTGCCTGGGAACGGCCTCCGGGGGAAGAGCGGGGGCGGGGGGGAGGAAAAGAATTGGGTATGATATTCGCGCTTTGCGAACGATTAGGTGCCCCATCAGGGCCCTCGTCCAGGCCGGCAGGCAAACGGGGGGGAGAGAGGGGGGCCGCCCTCCCTGGACCCCGGACCTCACCACCTCCCCCCGACACCCTCACCCTCCCCCCAACATGGATAGCGCGTTTGTTCGTATGTTTCACCTGTACTGTACTGTACTGTACCGTAAAGTACCGCACCACCGTACATTTACCTCTGCTATTTCACATCTGCCACCTCCTCCCGTTTTATGGCTGCTTGGTCGCGGCCCTACCTGCAATTGATGCGACGCCAGTACATGCATGCATGCATGCATGTATACAAACATACATACATACATACATGTCTTGTACGTTTGGCTGTTTCATCCCCCTCGTCGCGGCGTGTGTGTTGTTTTCATGCCATTCCAGGTATCGGTTCCCGACGGCCAGCGATTTGGAAAGCCCTTCTTAGCAGGGCTGGAGGTGTGGGCTCGACAGGTGCTGGAAGGTACGTGTCGTACACAGTGTACTGCATCGTACTGTACGGCACCGGTACGCTGGATCACATGCCATGTGTATACACAACTCTTCCGTCATGTCGTACATTGAAGGGTACCCTGCCCCCCCCATGATCTAACACACACTCACACAGGCAGATGCCCCCACCCCCACCCCCACCCCCACCCCACCCCACCCCCTCCACCAACCCCCTTCCCTAAACCGTCTCCAGGTCAACAACCCATACTGTTGAAGAAAGTGTCCCAGGGCGCCCCCACCACCACCGTCAGCGCCGGTCAGCACGTCAGTTCCCCACCACCACCACCACCCCCTGTGCAGGCCACCACAACCACCATCACCACCAGTACCAGCAGCCGGAGCCCCTCGGGCCCCCTCCCACCGACTGGTGGTCCTAGTGCTGCCACTCCTAGTGGGGTCGGGGGTGCTCGAACCCGCATCACCTCCCTCACGGGCAGCGGCCTCCCTGGACTGGACACCCTGGGGGCGGGGATGGGGGCGGGGGCGGAGAAGAGGGAGCGCCTCTCCCTACAATACGGACGAGGCGGCTTGCCACCACCGCCGCAGTCTCCACCGCCGCCGCCTGCTGCTGCTGGTGGTGGTGGCACGGGCACCAGCGGCACCGCCCGCAGAAGCGGTGGGGCTGCGGGGCAGATGGCGAGCACCTCATCCGCCACCTCGCCTCCCTCCCTGGACTTCGTTTCGCTGCTCCAAGCCCAGGTCGGAATTACTGAGACCACCGCTACATCCGCCGCCGCAGCCGCCGCAGCCGCCGCAGCCGCCGCCGCTACTGATGGGGGCACGAATACCACCAGCCGCAGCAGTAGCACCACCACCAGCCGTGGCGATGCCGTGTTGGGCGGCAAGGGGGAGAGCAGTGCGGGTGAGCGGTGGTAGAGGGGGCAGCAGGAGGGGTGGGTGGGAGGGGAAGGGGGGACGGTCGCCTCGAGCGGTGAGCGGTGAGCGGTGCGGTTTGATGTCACATTCCCCCCGAGGGGGGGGAGGGGGCGAAGAGCCATGTAGCGGGAGAGAAAGGTCTGCTGCCTCTCCTTTCCTCCCCACCGGGGTGAAGGGGGCCCCCCCACTCCGCGGGCTTCACGGCGGGTATCACGGCGGGTCGACGTGACATCACACACCGCTTTCAGGACGTTCATTCCCTCACTCACTCACGGGGGGCAGTTTCCAACTCTGGACGCCACCCCGCAGTCGGGCACCTCAGTTCATACCGCCTTGTTTCCCCCTTGCAGCAGCATTTATGATTCTCTCCCCCCTTACCTCACGCCCTACCTCCCCCCTACCTCCCCCCCCCTACCTCCCCCCCCCCCCTTACCTCCCCCCTACCTCCCCCCCCCTACCTCCCCCCCTACCTGCCCCCACTCCGGAGCAGCGTGGGACTTTGGAATCTGTTTTCCCTCCTTGACTTGCCGGGCCCCCCCCCTTTGGGCCGCTGTGTGTTTCTCCGGTGTATTGCCCGCACCGGTGCAGATCTCAAGTCCGGAGCCGCCGCCGCCGCCGCCGCCGCCGCCGCCCTGGCGGTCGACAACTTCACCTCAATAGCCCGACATGGACATCGACATCAGGACGGGAGGGGGGAGGGGGAGGGGTTGGGGCCGGAGGGGGAGCAACCGGGGATAGCAGCAGCGGCGGATTACCGGGGTCTGCTGGCCTCCTCCTCCTCATCATCATCATCATCATCATCATCTGAAGAGGAGGAGGAGGAGGAGGCGAGCTATTATGGTGACTCGGAGGGTCCAGATGACTATGATGACGAAGAGGAGGAGGAGGAGGTGGAGGAGGGTGATGACGACAGCTCCGACGACGACGACGACGAGGGCGATGGTGAGTACTGCCGCGCACACCTACCTGCCAGTCCGCCTCGTGCGGGACTGGAGCCGCAGAGCCGGAGGGCCGAGACAGCCGGAGGGCCGAGACAGCAGTTCCGTGTCTCTTCGGACCCGGCTCCCCCTCCCCTCCCGCCCCTTCTGGTACACTCTTGCCCTGACAGCAGCTTCACTCGTTCGTGGTTCGTCTTTTCCCTCCCGCCCCTTAACCCCCCCTCGCTCGCGTTCGGGCCATTCCTTGTGGCAGCATAGACAGGTCTCCGCGCCCCAGGGCCCTTCAACCGCATCACCCGCCCCTGCTTGGGCAGCTCCTGTCCCACACGGGTGACATACATACAGACAGACTTACGTACATGAAACACACAGGCTACTTCGACGACTACGAGGACGAGTACGATACGGATGAGCTTGGCTCGGAGTCCAGTACGGCGGACGAGTACGACTCAGCCGTGGAGAATGTCGTACTGGCACCTCGCGGCGGCAGCGCGTCAGCGAAGGTGTTGCCGC